TATTTTGGTGATAAGAGAAGGCGTTGCTGTTTGGATTATAAGCTAAGATAACTGTATATACATTAATAAATTAATATATTCAAAGTCAAATCTTTTTATAGTAAGAATTAGGATAGTTATGATTAGAGTAATTCCTAATATAAAATCTATTTTCTTGAGAATTATAGTAAAAACAATTTTTTTTTTTACTTAAATTACTTTTATTATAAAAAAGTGAACGCCTATTTCCACCATTGAAATTTGCTATTTCCACTATGCTTTTCATGACTTTCAGTTACATAAACATGACGAACATATTGTCATGAAAATTTACGTCAAATGGTGGAAATAGTAAATTTTCATGTGGAAATAGACGTTCCCTAAAAAAATATAAAAAACAATTACAAACCTCTTTATGAGGCAACGCGCGAAACTAAGAGCTAGTCAATATTTATTTCTATTTCGCGATTTAGCACAAGCCTTTTGACTTTCTGTAGGAATCCTTACGCAAGATACTCAGGAAATACGATAGAAAATTCTTTATTTCTATCGTGGCAGCCCACATACAGTATATGGCGTGTGCGTACGCACTCACGTATGTATGTTGCCAATCACATAAAAGCACAGCCAGGTTTAGCCTCACATTTAACGTTAACGGCATATAATTTAATGCAAATCTGTATAAATCAAGGAAGCACATTATTTCTAGGAAGGGCAATTTCTCCCTTATTATATAGGTTTATATCCAAATCTATTTTTATCGACGATCGCGTCACGTGACTATTAATGACGTATGCTAAAGCTAAATTGTATTAAGTGATGTCAAATTAAATGACTAGGCGGCAAATTTTGATAGTGATTACATATTGCATTAGCTGAGTAAACCTGCAACTGAACATAGTAAATAATTATGACCAGTTGCTCTGCAGCACTCGTTTTCGTATTACTGTTTTTTTTTGTAATTTAAAACCACCCTTCGATTATAATACGCGTTATCTATATATAGCGCATAATCATTTATTATCTTATTTTCCACTGCCGCAATTAAGTCTCTTTGGAAAATTTGTAAACGTATTTTCGGATACCAAATGACGTTTCTCTTTATAGCTTGTTTTTTACTCTCATTTCTTTGGTGCACTATCGTAAAAGCTCGTTTAATCGACGGTAGTGACAACAATGCCATAAATTCGGCTGCTGGAACTTCGAATCAACCTTTCTTGAGGGCTATTAACTCAATGAATTTCAAGTACAGTAATTAATCATTTGTCTATAATATGAGTGTTGCCTAGGAAAGAAAACTTTGGGCTTTCAAATTTATATTTACCAGATTCAAGCTGATGTTGAATATCGAAATAATTTTTAAAACAACGTGAATTATTTCTAAAATAGCACATCTCTAATGGCAAATTGATTAGAGCCTAAATTTAATTACTATCATATATGTCGTTTTCCAGGTTTTTCAATGCTGAATCTATAAATAATAAATAAACCTGAAATCTCAAGTCACATTTTTCCTTGGCAGCATTTATTCAATTAAAGTTTATTCAGTAATAACTCTTAATTCACGATATAGTCAAAATTTTACTCCTTTTTCGTCTCCCACTGACTTTCTTGGTTTAAACCCGAGCGGTCCGACAACTATTAAATGCACCGATCGTGTAACTTCTGGGCTGTATCCTATGCCAAGATGCATATCAAACGTTATATGTAGTCATAATACTCCACCTTACGATATTAATGCATTGTCAAGTTATCGTTCATTCAGACGAACTAGCCATTTCGTAAGTTGTATATGAATTTATGATCATTGTGCTTCGTTGAATTTAATACATTTATTATATCTATATTATTTATATTAAATATTATAGGCCACTTTTTTCGCTCAATACATTTCGTTTGATATTACAGCTTCAAGGAACACAAATCCAACATACCCAATGTTCTTACCGGCAGATGA